CCCCAGTCAGTCACCCCACCCTCAGTCACCCCACCCCAGTCAGTCACCCCACCCTGACGCACCTCACCCTAGTCAGTCACCCCACCCTGATGCCCCTCACCCCAGTCAGTCACCCCACCCTGACGCCCCTCACCCCAGTCAGTCACCCCACCCTGACGCACCTCACCCCAGTCAGTCACCCCATCCTGACACACAGCTTCTTCTCCAAGCCTTTCGCTCTGACATGGCACGTTCCGCTCACCTTGGTAATCTTGGGGTGTGTGCAACGGCTATTGCCGGTGGCGGCATGCATCCAGCTGGCCTCTGGGGCGGCGCACTCCTGTCGTAAGGAGCACTTCTTCTCCTGGACACACCAGCCGCACTCGAAGCGTGGGTCGGCCTTCAGGCACAGGCCGCAGCTGTCCCGCTGCGCGTAGCACTTGTACAGATGAGCTGGGGTGGGGGCGCAGATGAACCTCAGTTAGTCATCGTGAGTAGAAGAGGGGGCACCTCCCGTCTGAGGAACATCTAGGAGGTGCTGTGTGCCGAAGTACGAGCACCAGCATGGGTCCTACCAATCACATTATACACCTGTTAAGTGTAGGGGGTAAAGAGTCTCACCTTAATGCCGGTAAGAATCCCCAAACTGACCTCGACACCCAAAAACAAATGAGAACTGAAAAGGTGAGACCTTTGCTCCCTGCGCACAGCACATGCAGAGTTACTGTTGATCCCATAACCTGTTTAAAACCAATCCCAACCCAATTAACGGGACTGGGCTTAGTCCCTCGGCTGCGGACAGGCATCACGTGGGCACTACAGGGGCCGCAACTGGCCGGTGCTCATCTGCCGTCTCTCGCCGGCGCTTAGAAACCCGTCGAACGCTAAAGCGTCAGGGGTGGCTGACACTCTCATTGGCTGACAGATATCGAGCGGAAGCCCCTCGACCGGCCTGCGGGGGGCGACCTCCAGCTCATGCCTCTCCCTGGGCGGCACCGTGGTGTGAACACACAGGGGCCTGAACCCAATACCGTGACAGCACCGGGAAATCAATAGCCAAACCATTGGCAGGTAGAGATAGAGCTTAATAATACAGATTAAAGGCCCTTTCTGAATCAAGCCTTTCAGGCAAAGAAAATCCCACACAGACAGTATCGCTGAAACGGCTGCAAAATTAAGGCGGTATTAGCATTTACAGAGCGAGCAGCGTGCTGCGCAGCCAGGCATTATGTAACCGGCGGCCTCTGACAAAGCCGCGTTCAGAAGCGACTCGGTGCCGGAGCCTGTATCTCCCATCTGCCGCGGCACTCCCCAGACCACGGCGTCTTAAGTCTGAGGGGTTTAGAGTTACCTTTCTGTTAGCGATCGACTTACTGGGTTTACAAGTCCGCTTCCTGTACAAACAGCCTCCCCAGAAAGCATAAAGCAAGCAGAGGAATGAAGGGGGAAAGGGAGCAGACGGTGGATTAAGTTTAGG